ATCTTGCATTATACCTCACTAATATAGAAGAGGTACCTACAAAGAAAGATGAAAAAGATAAAGACAAAGATAAATTTGTAAAGGAATTAATAGTAGAAATGATTGATAATGAAAAATTAAAACAAGAACAACAAATTAAAGTCAAGGAATTTTTACTTACAGAGGAAAATCTGTTTGCTAAAAGTCTTGAAAAATTAGGTCATACTAATGCTATTACTCATAGCATTAATACAGGTGACACTGTTCCAATTAAATAGGGATATTATAGGGCCGCCTATCAAGAAAACAAATTTATTAAAAAGGAAATAAAGAAATTAAAAGAACAAGGACTTATAATAGAAATAAACAGTCCTTGGACATCTCCGGTAGTTATAGTACCAAAAAAAAACAGCAAATTACAATTTTGCGTAGATTATAGAAAACTAAATGCAGTTACAAAAAAGGATACATATCCTTTGCCATTAATTAATGATCTTCTGAATACATTCGGAAAGGCCCATTCGTTTTCTACTTTGGATCTAATAAGTGGATACTGGCAAGTTAGGGTAAATGAAATAGATATAGAAAAAATGACATTTATTACGAAATATGATACTTACACATTCAAAGTAATGTCGTTTGGTCTCTGTAATGCACCTGAGACTTTCTAACAATTAATAAATTCTGTACTAGGAGATTGTGTCGGAAATTTTGCTGTAGTATATCTTGATGATATCAATATATACTCAAATTCATTTGAAGAGGATCTAGAACATTTAAAAATTATATTTAGAAAGTTAAGAAAAGCTGAATTAAAATTAAACCTGGAGAAATGTACCTTTTTCAAATCAGAAATTAATTATCTAGGTCATGTAATTAATAAAAACGGGGTAAGACCCGATGAATCTAAAGTGGAGAAAGTTAAAAAATTTCTCATATCAATAAATCTTCGACAATTGAGGTGATTTATTGGACTAGTCTCATATTATCATCGATTTATTAAGGGATTCGCGATGATAGCTCGACCACTTCGTAAGTTATTGGAAAAAAATATTCCCTATAAATGGGAAGAAGCTTAAAAAAATGTCTTCGAAACATTAAAAAGACATTTAATGATGGCACCTATTCTAAGATATCCAGACTTCAAAGAAATGTTTTACTTATACACTGATATGTTTGGCATAGGCTTAGGAGCTGTATTAGCTCAAAAAGATAAGAACCACAAGGAATATGTGGTAGTTTACACAAGTCGAGGACTTTCTAAAACCAAACGTAATTATTCAGCCCCGGAAGTTGAATGTTTGGCAGTAGTATGGGCTGTAGAACATTTTCATTATTATTTAGGTGCCAAACATTTTATGTTAATCATGAACTATGCTGCTTTTAAGTGGTTACATACCTCTGAACCAAAGGGGAAGAGAGTCCGTTGGATCTTAAGATTGTAACTGTATGATTATTCTATAGTACATCGGGCTGGAAGAAAGCATTCCAATGTCGATGCACTATCAAGAATATACTTAAAAAAATGAGAAAGAGGAAAATTAACAACGTAAAAACAATTACAAACATTAAAACCTAAAAATAAGAAAAGAGTAAAAAAAAAAAAAAAAAAAAACTTCGAACTAAAATAATAAGAATTACACTAATTTGATTAAAGTACTCTGCTTATAATTCGCCTAAGGCGTGGAAATTGATTAAGGTACTCTACCTATAATTCGCATATAGCGTAAAAATTGAGGGTGTGTTTAGACCTGTAATTCATGTATATAGCCTGGTACTGGCGGGTTCGCTACCATAATAAGTACTGCATGAGACTTGAACCTGATTAGTGTAATCTAGAAAAACAAATTAGTTTGGAAGTTAGTTAAATACATAAAGTATACTAAAAAAATTTAATAAGTAGTTGTAAAGAACATATATATATACTTAAAGAATTAGACAAAATCCGACATTAAAATTTAATCCAGTCCAGATAGTCGGTGTTCTGGCAAAGTTTAGAAGATGGAGCCACTTAGATACCAAATTTTGAAAACATATCTAACAGAACACATGTTATCATACAAGTTAACTTCACAAGAACGACAAAGTATACAAGCCCAAAGTCAATTTTTCAAAATAAAAAATAGGTTAATTTATAAAAAAAAACAAACATCATGTTAATCATTTATTAAGAGTGATTCAAAAATACGAAGTTGAACCTATTTTGTTTCTAGTCCATACTCATCTGTTGGGAGGATACTTTGGCATAGACATAATGTTTAACAAGATTCGCAGCAAATATTACTGGCCACAGATGTATGCTGATATTAGGAGGTTTGTTTGTACCTGTGATGCCTGTCAAAGAAGAGGCAAAAATTTAGCAAAACCTCCATTACATCCTATACCAGTAGAAGCTTCATTCTACAAAATCAGAATTGATATAGTTGGTAAATTATCTATAACTCCAAAAGGTAATACCGTAAATTCTCGAAATAACGCCCAGGGGTGAAATTACGAAATTTGGTCTAAATTAAGCTTAATTCGGGCCAAAATCCAAAATAACGCCCATGCCCGTTATTTTGAGAATTTACAGTAGATACATTGTAGTAGCTACAGACTACATGACCAAATAGCCTGAAGCTAAGGCAATAAAAAACGCGAACACCCAAGAAGTAGCCAATTTCATATACAAGGACATCGTATATCGCTATGGTTGTCCGCAATATCTGTTATTCGATAGGGGAATACACTTTCATAATAACCTAATAGATGAATTTCTAAAGAAATTCACCATTAATCATCATTATTCGACGCTCTACCATCCGCAAACAAATGGATTAGTGGAGTGCTTTAATAAAACACTCTGTAAATCTATATTTAAGCTGATATCCAACGTAAGAGAATGGAACTTATTAATACCTTTGGTGCTCTTCGCATATAAGACAGCCAGACAAAATACGATCAAGATGACACTCTTCCTCTTAGTCTATGGCAGAGAAGTAAGATTTTCACTTCATTCTAATGAAACTGAAGAGATATTGGAAGGGACATTCCTACAAAGACTTTTCGATTTAGTCGAAATTCTACCGCAAGTCCGAAGTGAGGTCGTAAAGAGGGTCGAAAGAGCACAAGGAATTGCTAAAAAGAAGCATGATCATCAATTTCTACCTATAGAAGAATTTAAAAAAGGAGACCTAGTATTAGTATACAAGGCTTCTCAACAACATTTAAAGAGCCACAAGTTGCATCCAAAATAAAAAGGACCTTTCATCATACATAAAATACTTTAAAAGGGCATATATAAACTACATACAATCGAAGAGAATATAATTAAGACACCTATAAATAGAAAATTAATAAAACAATACAATTCCAGATAAGAAAATATACAAAGGTGATAAAGAATGAAAAAGGACATAAATTAGTAAAATTTCTATTTTATTGTACAATACATTATAATGTTATAAATAAACTTTAATTTCTAAAAAAAAAAAAAAAAAAAAAAAAAAGTTCAAATTAAACAAAAAGTTTGAAATTTATATCTGAATTAAGTTATATAATCAAGATAGTTCCGTTGCATTTAAGATAAAACTGAATTGAGATCTTTCAACAAACATTTTAAGGATATTAGAAAAATGATATATGCACTGAAAATTAATTCGTACTGGACAAAAATTTATCCACAAATGGAACAAAATTACAAACTTCCAACATAATTAAAGATCTTATAGCATCCAAAGAAGGATTTTTTAAATTATCGATCTGATTACAAGATATGATTCTGGAAGAATCACATAAGACAGGGGAGTAGTATATAAAGGTTATAGTTTAATTTTTTTTTAATTAAAAAAAAAAAAAAAATTTTTTTTAATAATATCTGCTTTAACAAAAATATAAGCTTATTAATGTTGGATAAAGCAATATTATATTACTTGCCAATATTATCTTCCCCAAATTAGTTCATATATACTAATAATTGTATTACTACCTTACAAATAATAAAAAAAAAAAAAAGTGAAAAACCTCAAGAATTACAAAAATGTGCAATGATATTATAACAAAACAGAAGAAAGGAAGATTTGGGAATATGTTATTATAGGGAAAATTACTCAAATTGGGAATTTAAGTCAGAAGAAAGTATTCTGACTGTCATGATTAGGGTTGTGCCCCAAATTTACCAGTTTGGATTAGATAGAAACCCAAATAGTATTTACTAGGTTTCACAAAATATTCTTAATTTGCCGTAATGTCAAACACTTTTGACATATAATCTATATTATGGCTAAAAATCTCAAATTTTTATATATAAAAACTGGGTTTAGGATTTATCTCAAATAAATTAGTCAATAGTTATATAAACCTTAATCTAATCTAATCGAAGATAAAAAACTCATCTTTTATAATTGAACCTGCTGTCATGATTACAATACACTAACTTATTAAAAATGTTTTTTTTTTATATTCAAGTTTTAGCTGTTTCACGGCAAGGCATTAACACAGTTCTATTCACGATTCAAACTAAGTTACATTGATCAACATAGTAATCACAAGTTAATTAACAATAGAGAGACTATATAATGAACAATTTTTTTTCTTTTATCGTTATTATTTCTAAGAGGCCTGTTTTATCAACAGGTTATTGTTTTCATTTATTGTATACGTATTTTAATATGACTATTTGATCTAATATATCGCTCTGTTCAATATATCTTACTTAGTCGTTATCTATCAAATACTTCCTATGTCGAAAGTTAAGTTGAGTTTATATTTAATTGAAGATATAAGAAAAACGATTCTTATAATTTTATTTATTTATACAGTCATCTCTCGTTAATATCAACCCCGTTAATATCAACCTAGGCTATACAATGAGCTTTTATATATTCAAATTATATTGAAATTCCCTCACATATATCAACTTTAATATGTTCCCTCATTAATATTACGATCAACATGAATATAAGAGCGATCTAAATAGGTTGATATTAATGAGGGACGACTATAATAATATGAACAAAAACTTCAGCAGAAAAAAAAAGTTCTTAATCATATAAATCACTATCACCTAATGCATCCTGAACTAAAAACGTACACTCAAATTTCATATTTGTTTCTTTTTTATCGATCAATGTAATTTCTTCTTGATAATTATTATTTGTTCCAAATATTGGATCCAATAGATCTACCAAATTTTGAAGAGCCATTGTAATATCATTTGTTGTAAGATTTACTATTTCTAATTCATTTTTCTTTTTATTATTTAATTCAACATTATTCATTTCTGCAAAGATCGTTTCATTTAATACACTATTATATAATTCTGTCTCCACATAATTATTATCATAAAACCTTAATTCTTTTTTGAGATTTGATACATAAAAGGAGTAGATTTGTGCCATACTTTCTAATATTGAAACTTGAAGCTGTGTATGACGTCCTTTACTAAACCACTTCAAAATAAAGAAATTTTGTTCACAGCTGGCTTGAGAAGGTATAATTGCAAACATAGTTTTTGCTAGGTCTTGCAAATGCGAATATTCATCTTTAGCAACTCCCCACCATGTTGTAGACGTTAAATTGGAAGAAAACTCAATATCCCAGGGTGCAACTCTTGCTTTGTAGTTTATTAATTGACTTACTAACTCAAGACATTCTCTTTCACTATGATACATGTCTTTATAGTAACTGACTGCCAATTCACAAATATCACGAAACTTTTTTTTAAACTATTATTTCGGTAGTTTGGATGAAGGAAATAAGTTAGAAGGTATGGTAAAATATCGAATTGTTCATATCGAGAATTAAATGTAGCAATAGCAAGAGTACGAAGATCATTACTGGTAGGTATTTTCTTAAGAGCAATAGCTATTTGTACTATTCTTATAAAACAATTAGCTAAGGTTGCTATATGACTTTCAAGCAAATTGATTACTCGTTTGATCAGTTTAAAAATTAAGGCAATTCTTTTGCACAAAGAATAAAAACCATCATTTTCGTTAAATGCAATTTCAAATACTTCTTTGTTGGTAAATATATTTGGCTGTTCTTCAAGGATCTAAAATAATAATTATAATAATTACAAATTTAAAATAATATATTAGGAAAAAATATAAAAATTTAATTATTATTATTATTATGATTAAAAAGCATATTACTATATAAGTATCGCCAAATGAAAACCTAACTTTAATTATATAAATATATATAATTGAAATCAGGTTTTTATTCAACAATATTTATATATATTTTAAGAATAAAATATTAAAGAATAAAATTTATTTGGCATTATTAAATAACAAAATATTAATTTAATTTATAAACCTTATCAATTGCAGGCTTGACACGTATAATAGAATTTGTTGTATCATAAATAGATACTTAGCGTGTTTCACTATATGTCTCTAATGAACCACCTTTAATATTCATAGATAAAATAGTATCTTGTAGAAGACGGTTTGCTAAATGAGATTTTTGAAAAAATGAAACTAACATATTAGCTTGTTTTAAAACATTTTTAACTAATGTTGTTTTTATAAGATCTGCTGCTAACAGATTCAATGCATGAGCAATACAACAGATGTTTAAGATATAAGAATAATTGTAATGGATAGTTTGTTGTGCAATGCATATGTTAGATCTATTATCAGTTACAATTGCCGCAAAACGGTGAGCACCTATTTTTTCAATAATCTCTGAAATTTTATTAGCAATAAAATTTCTTGTTTGGTGCTCTCCTGAATAATCAGCTAGAGCATAAAGATATTCTTGATGACTTGGAGTCGCAATTATATAGCTATAAAGTGAATCACCCCTTGGTGAGGTCCAGCCATCTAGTGCTATAAATAAAATAAATATTTATTACTACATCAATTTACAGTTAATTTAATTATATTTACTTATACAAAGTTAAATTTGTCATTTTTTGTAGGTCTGCTTCCAACTTAACAGTAATTTGTGCAATTTCTCTATTAAGTATTGAGCCTGAAAGTGCATCCTTATGTAGTAGTATATAACTAGGTTATAAAGGTTTAAAAAATTTCGGAAATATGAATTATCGATGATAGCAAAGGGAATTCCGCAACATACAAAAGCTTTAAGCAATGCTTTTGTAATGTCCGCAGATTGTTGAGAGGATAATTTATTAATGGATTAGAAATGTGAAGTGATCGATTGACTGGATGTTTTGGCTTTTTTTCCACTATAAATTTCTTTATCCTTATCATTTACTTTTTTACCTCTTTTAGCAACTTCAATTAACCACTTTCTTCTAATATTATCTGGCACTGAACCTTTATAATGAAGTGCTAAATGAGCTTCTATGGTAGAAGGTTTTCCACGTTGCTATTTTTCTTTATCACAATAATGGCAACTTGCTTCAAAATGCCCATGCCCATCTTCTTCACCTTCATCATAATCATTCCAGATAGGCATTCGTGGTCTACCTTCTTTGCTTTTTTCGATCTTATGTTTTGTAGGAATAGAGGTAATTTCAGATATTTGGGAACTAAAAGATTTGTTTATGGGTATATTTGTTTCTTCTATAATAACCGTTTTATTTTTGGTATTTATTTTATTTATTTTATTTTTTTTGTTTTTTAAATTGTAGATTACATGAAATGAGAGTATTAAGGTTATGTTTATATACACGTCAAGTTATTTTTTTTACATTTGATCAATTAAAGCTTTTAGTACATATCAAGATTCGTGTATATAACATATATAACGCATTATCATAAGACATTAATATTACTTTACAGCATTCATACAGGTTTTTATTTAGTGAATACATGTAGCTTTTTTTTGTGTATATGAAAATTTTAGATCAAAGATGATCTAGCGTGGAACTAAAGCCATTTACATGAAGGTAAAAAATTTTTTAAAGATTTATATGGTTTGATATTAGTAGTTTATTACTTTATTTTTTTTATTTTCTTATGAATGTTCTTAAACAAAAAAATGATTATAGAAATTTTAGATCATAAATTTTATCTAATATTGCTAGTCTTTTTTTTCAATACCATATTGATGTAGTTTAGATCTATTGCGAATTTCGAGATGCAATTAGCATCGGTTTTGTGTATCCTTGTTTAAATTAACCTGAAAATTCTTGTAATAATTAAACAAGTAGCATAGTTCAGAATCAAAATTATAACTAGTAATATCAGCGATCTTATGTACATGAACGAACTAGGGAAATCAACTATTAATATAGCACTGATGAATCTTAATGTTACAAAATCAAGTACAATTGTTTACCAAATGTGGTGAATGACTCAATTACTAACCTTGGTCAAATCTAGTTTTATCAGAACACTAAAGTAAAAAATGCCTGAGAAAAATATCAATTGTACGAATTCATTATACTAACTAAATTGTAGTTGATTGATAATCGTTCATTTTTATAACTAGGAAAGAAAACAGCTTGCGATATTCAACTTTGCTGATCATTAATACATACTACATATAGATTAAAAAAACAGTATTATAGGGATTAATTAATTAACAGGTTTTAGATATGGGCAAATCGAATTATTAATATTATAAATAGATGTGGGAAAATTTATATGATATATAAGATTAAGATTATAACAATTCTCAATTATAAATATATTAAAAACGAATTAAAATTGGTTAGCAAATTTAAATAATAGATGGATCTTAATGTTAAGAACAGTTTAATTTTTAAGCTCCGGTTTTTTTCCTTAATTGTACTACAACACAACCTCATAATGCACAAATAAGTTCAAAAAATTTTAATAAAATCTTATTTAGCAGTATAATCTTGTTAACAAAGTTGTCAATTCGTGAATTATATTATTTTAATATTATCAATTGATGAATTTGATTGTTTTTGAGTTTGACATTGTTGAATAAAATGAGACATGTGTTTAGATTTTAGTTATTGACCCAAATTAGGTAGAAATCCTGATTCCCAAACCCAAACTACATAGTAATGTCATACTTTGAAAAAAGGTTTGGACCGCAATCCTAAACAGAACACATCCTATTAGATGAAGTAATCAGTACTATAAGAAACCTATGCATAGCAGAAAGAGAAAGGCTGTTTGCACATAATAAACAAAGAATGGCTGCCAAATATACACAAGCTAAAATAGAAGCAGGATGGATGAAAAGACTAGATAAACAGAGAAAGTGTTGCAAAGGCAGCATAACAAAATAAATTTAGGACTATAATTATAGTGCTTTAGAAAATCAGTAAAATTAATAGAAATAAAACAACAGGAAAGGAAAAAGAAAAATACAATTAGAAAAGAAATAAAGAAGATGCA